TTTTTAACATTTATTTATTTTTGAGACAGAGAGAGAGCATGAACAGGGGAGGGTCAGAGAAAGAGGGAGACACAGAATCTGAAACAGGCTCCCGTCTCTGAGCTGTCAGCACAGAGCCCAACGCGGGGCTCGAACCCATGGACCGCGAGATCATGACCTGAGCTTAACCGACTGAGCCACCCAGGCGCCCCGCATTATAGCATTTCTTAATTCATCATGACTAGTTCTTAGATCCTTGACCTCTACAGCAAGACATTCCCTGGGGCCTACAATGCTGTTTTCAAGCCCAGCTATTAGTCCTACGACTGTTATGCTAAATTCTTGTTCAGATATATTGTTTGTATCTGTTTTGCACAAGCCTCTGGCTGTCATTTCTCCCTGAATTTTCTTTTGAGAATTCTTCCCTTTTGTCATCTTGGCTACGTTTCTGTCTTTTGCGTGTTTTAATAGCTTGTTACATATCCTGCACCTGAGAGTACTACTATATTAAAAAGGGGTCACACACTGTCCAGGGCCTGGCACTTCAGGAAGTGTTTTTCGTGTATGTTGCATTCACTCTGTTGTTGCATTTTTGCTGCTCTTTCCCGCTGGTCGGTTGTCTGCAGAGCTCTTCCTTGCGTGTAGTGGTGGGGTGTTCGGACCTTCAGCCAGGTGTGCTTTGATTTGTTTGTTGAAGTAACCATGGAAGAAACGTAAAAAGTCAGGGGGAACCTGATCCCAAACAAAAAGAAAAATCAAAGGGGAGAAAAGAGGGCGAAACAGAGAATCAGCTAAATCCAGAGAAAGAGAAAGGAAAATAAAAAAGAATAAGAGAGAGAAAAGGTGTAAAAAGAATAGAGTGAAAGTGCTGGCTACCCAGCTTCCCTCCGGACAAAGTTGCAAACAGTTGAAACCTCTGGGTTTCGGCTCCCAAGGCTGTTTGCAGAATAGAAACTGGCACTGTCCATATTCTCGCTCCCCAGTCTGTGGTTCGGAGAGGTTTTCCTGTTGTGCTAACTTGATACTTCAATTTCACAGCCCTCCTCTCTCTCTCCCTTTTTGTCTCTCCAAAGAAGGGGTTCCCTCCCCTCTGTGCCTACTCCGTTTTATCTCCCCCAGTTCACGTACCCTCCCTCCCTCCCACCAAGCTGTCTCCCTCCGTGTGTGGAAATGCTTTTGCCGCTCTGCAGGTTGATTTCCTGGGGGTTTCTGGGGGTTCTGACCTCAGTACAGCTGTGCTTGAGGGACAAGGGAAATCCCGGTCCCCCTACTTCTCCGCCCTTTGAACTCCGCCCCTCCTCTGAAGAAATAATATTTAAAAGGTGTTTAGAGGGCAATGAAATACATTCTTGAAAACAAATGACTATATTCAAGTAAGCCAAGTATTGTTCTTGAAAATAACACATCATAGATATTTTATCAAAATTAGTTTCCTTCCCCTCTGTATCAAATCATCTTAGATTTATTTGTGCTAGTGGACTGCCTCCTGACCTAGGTTCCTTTAAAGAGAATTTTGACTTTTTTTTTTTTTTTTTTTTTTTTTTTTTTTTGCATAAAGGTTACTGTTCCTGACAATGAGACTAGATTCCCTTCTTCTCCCCTTCTCTATGACTCTTCCTTTCGACTGACCTTAAAAAGGAAAAATGCACTGGTTTGAACCTTTGTCTTATTTAGTCCTACAGAGTAAAGACCAATTGTGAAATAAATTTCGTGTTCAGCATACTGGTGGTTTCCACCCTGATTGAGAGGAGCCAGAGTAGTTTTCCTTCTTTTATAGCTTACTGACTCTAACCTTAATCTTACCTGCTTCTTCATTTTAGAGTTATGGTCTGTCCTTCCGTCCTTCCTTCCTTCCTTCCTTCCTTCCTTCCTTCACAAGCAAGCACCTGAAAACCTTCTTTTGTTTGTTCAATTTTACTTTAAAAATATGATTGAAAACCTCTACCTTCCTTAATCCATGTTATATTATAGCTTTATATAAGATAAATTGTATATAAGATAAACTCATGGAGACATATCCCCTGATCCTGAGTTATATTATCATACACTATCACACAGTATTGAATTTGGTAACAAATAGTTGAGGACACTAGTAGTCTGTGTACCTACCTCAGGTGGGCCACATTTCCCTTTGGGAAATAACTTAAAAAAAAACCCTCATCTAACTTTAATGTCTCCTATATTGTGCTTTAAAATACTACGCATGTAATTTATGTTTTACGTAATATATACTCGTGGAGTTTTTTTTGATTTTGGGATTTGGGAGTTAAAAATAAAAACATCACTGGGTGGAGGTGACACCCCTAAGAAATCAGGAATTTAAGTGACAGTAGCAATATCATACTTTAATGTCAAGATATCCCAGAATAATTGGTGTTGATGCTTTCTTCTGTCTGATATTTTCAGGAGTATATTCTCTATAATTACTATTTAAATCTTACAATATTAATAACAGATCCTGCTTAAGAAAAGGATATATGGGCTGTTTGGTAGAAAAAAACTACATTATTTCAGAGTAATTAATAGCCTCGTGAGTCATTTTTAGTAACGCTTATCATCTTTTATTCAGCTTGAAATGGTTTATTCAGTGTAAAAGAAATATTTCAAATCATAATTGGTTTGTAGTTGTCTCTTAATGGGAAAATGGGGTGTCTACGTGAACCAGAACATTATCCAGGTATCTTTAAGAGATATTCTGTACTTATAGGATATAAAATTTTATTGCAACTAAGGAGAGCTGTTTCTTTGAAAATGTTATCCAGAGGGAAATAAGGATGTTTTTATTCAAGGAATATTTTATTGACGTAAATAATCGGGTGGTATATTATCTCTAATGCTTTTAAAGTTCTTTTCCCACTTAAAATTCTGTTTTGTTCAAAGTGTAAGGGTCTGGATCCATACACTGCAAATGCATATGGTTGCGGTATCTTTCACTGCTTAATTTGGGACACCAAAAATTGGCTAGCAAATCCTGAGTGTCACTTGTTATTGTGACAATTGTATATCCCATCAAAACTCTTAGTTCTCATGACCGTTAATATTCGGAGCTTGAGTTTAAGTTCAAGGAAGAGGTAAATTTTTAAATGCTGCATAGTACTATGTGTCTCTTAACTTTAGGAGGTTTATCTAATTCAGAAAGAAGAGCCTATACAAGTAATCTTAAGAGGCAACCTAAAGGGACAGAAACAGATGATTTGATTCTTACTCTGTCTTTTCGCATAACACTTTACCCTGCTTGTCTTCAGATTCGTGTTTTAAAATAAATGATAAGACCTCTAAGGTCATAACAGCAAGTCCATTCATTTTATTAGCCTAAACTTAAAGATTTGTGGGTGAAATGGTCCTCTTAAATGTAGGATATACAGTGTGAAATAGGACGACATCACTGACATTGTACCAGATACTATACATGAGTTCTAGGGGTTCCCACATTCCTTGCTTCAAACTGTGTATAGACTTTTCTTATCTCAAAATTCAGTGCAACCAACTTTCAGCTTTCTGAACTCAATTCCCTTCTCACCAAAAACCTGTGGAGTCAGATGCTAGGTTCAAATGCCAGTCTACCAGTTGTGTGGCCTTAGACAAGGTATTTGCCTTCTTTAAGCCTTAGTTTACCCATCTATAACATGGAAATAATTCTATTATGTACTTTATGAGATTGCTGTGATAATTAAATGAAAAAAAATCCCGTGAAGGAGTTTCACATATTGAGAGTACTGAGAGAGTATTAGCTGTTTTGTTATTACTATCGCTATTATTGTATTTGACATAATTCCTTATAGTAGATTCAGTGTTGATCATTTATACTTGCATTTGCTGCGTCAGCATTTACAAACACAAAAAAGTGATAATTCCTATCTTATTGTGTTATCACGATCCACTTATTTACTACATAGACTGTCTACTATGTGCCAAACAATGTGTTCGATGCCAAGAATACAGAGATGAACAACAACAACAAAAGCACACTATCTGCATTTATGGAGCTTATGTTCTAGTGAGGATAGATATTAAATCACATGATCCCATCCTAACTACCTAAAGGACAGGAGTCAAAGGGCTGCGAAGGAAACAAGCATGTTCTTTTTTGTTTTTGTTAACTTTTTACTTAATTAAAAAACCTAGGTGACTTGAGAATTTTGTTGAGTCCATTTTGTTTTTTTAAGCAGCACATTATGCTTTTGATAGAGTCCTTTTTCCAACGTGTTTTTTCTTTCCATGTTGTGCATTTGCATAGCCCTTTATGTCTGTATTTTTAACGGTATCTGTGATTAACACTGAAAGGCAAGGAGAGACACAAATGAAAGAAAAGCAGGCAAAATTCACTCCTTTTCTTTCTGGATAACATATTCATGCTGTCTACTGCCCCTGATGAGAACTTGGCCGTTGACATTTATTCATAGGCAGTACCTCAATGTCATGAGACAGAAGGTCAGACTCAACATAATTATCCATAAAAAGTCAATTACATATGACCTTTGTGAAATAGCAAAGTGACTTCAGGGGGATACATTTAGGGTTCTGTGTACCATCTTAATCGTGAAGCACTTCCCTCCTCTTTCAACTTCTGAAATTTCTATTAAGTATGATGACTGAGTTCCAATTAATATTTAAATAGTGTTCTGTAATAAATTACTTTTATTTTACTTTGTCATTATGTGCCACGAACTCTCCACAATCTGCCCTCCTCTCTTATTTTCTCTAGTCTCCCTTTGCTCCTGATAGTCATGCACATCACCTGGACTTCTGCCTCAAAGTCTTTATATTTATTTTCATTTCTTCCTGAAGTATTATTCCCCATGTAGAGAAGAAAAGAACATTGATTGAGTGTTCCAGACACTGAGAGGCTCTTTTCTTTGATCATCTTTTTCATTATACCGCTTCATGTACAGATAAGAACCTTAAAACAGTATCCTTCCATTCCCCCTCTTCTTATGTGTTGTGGTTGTCCTACATTTTATTTCTATTATAAACCCTATAATGCATTTTTTAATATTTTTGCTTTAAATAAATATCTTGCACACCAACTAAAAAATATATTTGCCCACATGTTTACCATTGTTCTTGCAGATCCATATTTTTGTCTGGCATGATTTTTTTTCTATCTGAAGAACTTCCTTTAACATTTCTTACGGTATAGGGCTGCTGGTAGTGAATTCTGTCACATTTTTTCTGTTGGAAAAAGTTATTTTTCCTTCATTTGTGAGAACTATCTTCCCACCTGGGTATAGAATTATAGATTGACAGATTTTTGTTGTCATTTATGTCCTTAGCTTTGTTCTACTGTTATGTCTTTTTTTTTTTTTTTGGTTGTTTTTAAAGGCTTTTTTGTTACTGAGATTTTTGGTTTTAGCCAATTTAATTATCGTCTTACTGTACTTTGCATTTATTCTTGGACTCTGTTGCACCTTTTTGGCTTATGATTTTCATCAAATTTGAGTATTTTTTAGCAATTCTCGGAATAGTTATTCATCACCCCTCCTTTTCTTCTGGGAATCCAATTTATATATGCATATGTTAGCATGTCATTGAAAAAAATTATTGTGGGATATTTGTATCCATTCCTCTATCTCTCTGTGCTTGCCTTTTCTGTTTTTAATTTTAGAGAAAGAGAAAGCACCTGAGCATGGGAGAGGGGCAGAAAGAGAGATTGAATCTCAAGCAGGCTCCACGCTCAGTGTGGAGCCCAAAGCAGGGCTCAATCCCACAACCCTGGGATCATGACCGGAGCCGAAATCAAGAGTTGGATGTTCAACTAATTGAACCACCCCCCTCTGTGCTTGCTTTTGAATAGTTGGTGTTGCATTTCCTTATATTTATTGTCCTTCTGTTGTATTTTATTTTGTCCTTCCCATTCAGTGTATTTAATTCAGATGTAGTTTTTATCTCTAGAAGTCCCATTTGGGTTCTTTTTTTAATTTTTTTTTTTAAGTGTATTTGATAAAGTGTTACATTAGTTTCAGGTGCACAGCCTAGCAATTCAGTAGTCTACTCTTTGGGTCTTTTTAATGTTGATTTTCTCTGCATGATGTCCATGTTTTCTTCCTGTAATTTGAGCAGATAGAGCCTATTTACATTAGCTGTTTTAACATTCTTATGTAACCAACATCATTTCTGTCATTGTTGGATCTGTATCAATTTATCGAGTTTTCTTCTAATGATGGTTCATATTTTCTTCTTTGTATGCCTGGTAATTTTTATTGGATACTGGATGATGTGCAGTTTATAGTGTTACATGCATGGTAGGTATGTCATATTCCTTGGAAGAGTATTTGATGTAGTTTGGGCACTCACTATGTTACTTGGGATCAGTCTGACCCTTTCAAGACTTGCTTTTCAGCTTTAGAGGATGGATACAGAGCATTCCATATGTAAGGCCAACTGTCACGGTGCAGTACCCTTCTGAGGACTCTACCCGATGCCCTGTGTATCGTGTGAGGGCTTTCCAGTCTGGCTGATGGAAATGCAAAGTCTTCTCAGCCTTGTGCTGTCTCTCTGGATGGTTTCACTTACTGCTTCTGGTAGTTCTCAGCCTTGGCTGGTTTCCTCTACACATGTACAGACTCTTAGCCAAAAACTCAGGTGAACTTCTCTGCAGATCCCAATAGCTTACTCTTCCATAGTTCTCCCACCTCCTCTAGTGGTCTGTCCTCACATTCTAGCTGCAGTGGCCTCCCTGAATTCCAGTCTTTATCTCTTCTCCTTAGTGAGAGTGTTGGGCTCTGTTGTGTTTCCTCTCCCTGTCGCATTGTCTGGAAACTTCCTCCAAGCAGAAAGATGGGCAGTCATGTGGCTTACTTCATTTGATTCCCCTGTCTCAGGGGTCATACTGTGCTGCCTGTCACCTAGTTTTTGAAAACTGTTGTTTCTACATACTAATTTCTAGATGTTTACTATGAGATCTAGTCTCCGTTTTCTTCATTTCTGAACATGATTATGATTTTTGAAAGCGTCTTTGGAAGAAACACTTTGGAATTTGTATCCTTAGAACTGTTCATTTGAGGGGTGCCTGGGTGGCTTAGTTAAGCGTCCGAATATTGATCTTGGCTCAGGTCACGACCTCACAGTTTGTGGGTCCGAGCCCCATGTCACGCTATGCTGCTGATGGCATGGAGGCTGCTTGGGATTATGTCTCTCCCTCTCTCTGCCCATCTCCCTCCCTCCCTCCCTCCCTCCCTCCCCCCCCATCTCTCTCAAAAATAAATCAATAAACTTAAAAAAAAAAAAAAAGAAATGTCCATTCAACAGAACTCTATTTAAGAGGAGGTACCCTTTAGAAGGAAGAGGTATGAGAAGACCATTTCAATTAATGAAAGTGCCAACTGGTAAAGCAGTACATTAAAATGATGTTAGTAGGTTAGATCTCCATTCCTATGGAGATGAAGGAATATACCTAAAACACATTTTTGCAGGAAAAATGGACAAAACCTGGGAGCTTTTGGCATGTGGGATTCATGAGAATTCACAGATAACTAAGATTTTAAGATTTGGAATAGTGGTGCAATTGAAGGAGGAGGAGTAAAAGATCATTAAATTTTACTAACTTTTACATTACACATCATAGGAGATGGTGACAGAAATGTATTCCGGCCCTTGTGTAGCACTGGAGATTCAACAGAATAATCCTACAAAGACATTTCGAGAATTCTGTGGACCAGCTGATCCTGTAAGTTAGTGTTTAAAATGTTAATCAAATTTGTTCTATTCGGTAGCTAAATATATCAACAGTCTTGATTAAATTTCTTCTTTACAAGAGGTAACACCAAAATGACTACATCAGACAGATTTTTATTCAAACTAGCGTTCTGGAGAATTTTTTAATATAATACTCCAAGAAAAAAGTGAATTTTTTATTAGCCTCGTGACAGTATAAAATGAGCAGAAACCTTTACTGTGGCATTTTCTTTTATTGTGTCTTCTTGCTAAATTGTCTAGAAAAGTGAATTTATCAAGCACTCTGATAGAACTTATCTAAGATATTAATTGTCCTTTGACATAGGGAGGCTCTAAATAAAGCTCTCAGTGTGAAGAATATTGATATGGTGGCCTCATAACCAGATGCATAAATATGAGCAGTGGGGCTTATATGAAACTTGATATTCTCTAGTGTCCTTTTCATTTTGCTTTGGGTTTCCTTCATATGGATATTGGGTGGCAAGAGGGGTGAAGAGGAGGGAGATGGGGGCTGAAAAACAGAAGTAGCATTAGAATACACATGAGAAATCTCCATGCAGATGATAAAGGCTGAGTAGGATTATGGGAAGCATTACTGATTTTCAACACTGTAATTTAAATGTATTCTCTTTTCTTTATTTTATTTTCACTTATAAATAGTTTATTGAAGATGAGCATCCAATTCAGTTTAATCCAGACAGCATTTATTGAGTTCCCTTAGATGTAGGATGGCAAGTTAACAGCACCTATTGAGAAGTCAACTTGTGTAAGAGTGCTTGCTAGATTTTCCCTGGAGGGGAAAGCAGTCCACCCATTCTCAGTGATCAAAGAGCACACACATGATGATCTTTTAGAACACTTGCGAAGAAACATACAAATAAGGACTAAAATATTGTTAGTTCAGGTAAAATGCAAATGTTGAGGGATTGTTGAGTAAAGGAGCAGATAGAGGAAACAAGGTAGCAAATGCTGGTAGAGATGAGTGAGAGATGAGTAGCCTTAAAAACCAGGTTAAAATTGTGGATTCTGTGTAAGTGGAATCCCATGTAGTAAGAAACAGCAATTCCTTATATTGAGCTTAATTTTGAGTGTATGGAGTCGTTCCCTTGACTCCATTGGAAGTCAATTGGAAGGCGTTAAAGGTAGGGGCTCTAGAAACAGTTAAGAGCAGACCTGATGACATTAGAGAAAGAGGTGGCAGGACCTACTATATGTCTTTTCAGGGAGAAGGAAGAATAGAAGTAAGTAATCAATGTGGTTGTGAAAGAGTGATTATTAAAACGTGATTCTGACGTAGAGGACATTAAGAGAAAAGGGTGATGATGTTGAGTGTTTATTGATGCTTAATCATAAGACATTAGAAAGAGATACTTTTTGGTCATATGAATGAATAGATCTTGGTGTTCGCCATTTTTGTATCCGATTTCTGTTGGCCAAGACGGCTTTTTGTTTATTGATTCTTTAAGATAATTAAAATGGTGAGTTGAACGGCTGACTGAACATATGAGCGAATTAAAGAGATAACTAGAACAGAAGGAGAATGAGATGTTTGTTCTTTCCGTCATTCAGTATTTACTGAATCTGTGCTAGTATTTGTGAACATAAAGATAGGAGTCTCAAAGAGCTTACAGTTTATGAGTGGACAGTATATGAAGTGGCTACTTTCCATGTTCTGTGCCAATTGTAGTGTTAGATGCTTGCACTATGTACGACGGAGCCCAGAATATTAGCACCTAGCTCAGCCTGGAATGGGCAAGGATAGATTCTCCTCTTGAGGCTCAGAGTCTTGAATTATATACTAAGTGTAAGTGCAGGGTTTTAAGCAAGATCATATGCTTTTGATCTCTCTCTGTATATATATGTATATGTATATCATATATACGTATACATATACATATATACACATACACACATATATCTCATCAGAAAAAATACCATTAGTGGTTATAGTCAAACCATTTTAGGGGCAATAAAATGGCTCTTCCAGTTTGTTCCCAGGCTTTGGTTTATTTTCTTCTTCTCCTCCTCCCTTTCTTTCTCCCTCTTCTCCCACCCCTCCAACAAAATTGTAAGCATTGAATGCTCATGGCATTGAATGCCGGTCACTCTGCTAGGTGCTACTCTAGGTTTATAGAGATGATCAAATAAACGCAGTGCTTATCTTTGAGGAACTTACGGTCTAGTTTTAGGAGGTGGAATTGATGAATGGCAGTCTCACTTCAAGCTGCCAGTGTGCCAATCTACTCAGGTACTGTATTACATTGAAATAATTTAGAAACTCATTTCGTCACTGCACAGTCATTTCCACATCTAAAGAGAGACTGTGGGTTATGATACATGTAAATATAATTAGTGTGTAGGGAAAATGCCAGGTATGTCATGGCCGTACAATGAATACTTGACAGATTAATAAAAGACTGGCTGTATTTTTGTGCATACCTAACATCTGGTATTAACTCATTATTTAAAGAAGAATTTTTGTTTTGAGAGAGAGACAAAGCACGCACACGAACGGAAGAGGGGCAGAGAGGGATAGAGGGAGAAAAAAATCTTAATTCAGCCCCCTCCCTGTGAGGAGCCCCACAAGAGGCTCAATCTCACAACTGTGAGATCATCATCTGAGCTGAAATCAAGAGTCAGCACTTAAACGACGCCCACCTGCCCCTAAAAATATTTCATCTACTCAAGTGGGTTCTTTTTCTCTTTATTCCTTTTTAAGATGTAGAACTACTTTGTAAGTTGATTCAAAAGAAGGTTTAGCCTTATAGTGACCATTAGGCCACTCTGTCACTGTCTATGTTGTAGATTGACATCACTTTCATCATTGATGTCTGCACTGTTGGCAGATTCTTTCTCTTATAGCTGGAAGGAAGCGCACATTGTGTATGAACAGAATTTCTTCCAGTCTGTCTAGAAGTGGTCTGAAAGAAGGGGGTGTTTTATAAGACAGTTCCCTGCTGGGGAGGGGTATATTAGGCTTTCCATTTTTATTTATTTACTCTATCAAAAATAAGAGAGAAATGAAATTTATTAAAATTTCATGTACGGATTGATAAGAGTACATGTATATAATCTATTAAAAATATGTACATGTTTTGACGTATTTACGTATTTTAACGATAAGGGTGCTTGAAAAATGTTGGAGTCTACTGCGCAGAAAGGAAAAAAGATCACAACGCGTTTCTTTGTAGTGAGAGAAACATTCACTCACCACACCATCATCTGCAAAAAATCCATCTCCTTAGGCAGAAAACCTAAGATTTGCCTCTGGAGGAGGTTTTGATTGCACCTGCCCAAGAATTTCACTGTTGAGTAGCTTTGCAGTTTTCCTGCTGAGCCATCAGGAAACTGAAAGAGCCACCAAAGAAGTGGTAAATTATCTGGAAAAACTGTGCAGAATATATTTGTTCTTGGGCTGATGGGGATGACGAGCCAAATACCCTTGCATAGGTAGGTCTTGTTTTATGAAAAAATATGTTTGTAAAATATTTTATGTAAAGGATCCTGTTTCAGAAAATCTGAATTTTTGGTCAGGTGATTATCTATCTTCAGGGGCTTTGAAAACATTATCCCATGACCTGGCTGAATTAAGAGTCAGATATTTTGGGGGTGCCTGGGTGGTTCAGTCGGTTGAGCATCTGACTCTTGATTTTGGCTCAGGTCATGATCCCAGGGGTGTGGGATCGAGCCCCACATTGGACTCCGTGCTGAGCTTGGAGCCTGCTTGGGATTCTCTCTCACTCTGCCCCTTCCCCTGATTCATGCTGTCTCTGTCTCAATCAATCAACCAATCAAATATTTTCTCACACAAAAAGTGGCTTTTTAAAATTTGATGATATTTTCCATTCATTTGATTGTCACAGTGGTCTTTCACCGGCTATTGAGTAGCCTTTACTGCTTTTCGGATTAAAGTCAAAGTATCCTGATAGTTTGAAATGCAGTTCTTTTCCCATGAATGTGCAGGGACTTGTGGTAGACTTGCAAGAGAAATGCTTGGGAGTCAAAGTCTGTCGCTTCTGTTACCTATTGACCTTCTGGTCACATTCCTTTATTCATTGAAGGCTGGGAACCCCTGATTATATAGTCTTTCTCTTCATCCCAGTTCTTATCATCAGATTGGCACAAGAACATCCATGTGAAAGATTCACCCAGTACTTGGCCTGAGAGCTGAATGGACAACTTCTGTCAATTATCTTTTATCATTCTGCTTGCCAGTTTTCTGGGAATAGACCATGCTGTATTTTTTGTTGACATCCAGAGCAGAGACACGTCTTCGAACTTAATCTCTATTATAGTAATGTCTGCCGTAGCTTTCTGGATTCCTTGGCCTCTTGATCCTCTTCCCAGTGTCCCTTTGACTTGACTGAAACTTCTAGGCTGTAGACCCTTCCATTTTCTGACACTGTAATGCCACTTTCTGACTTCCTTCTCTGTTCAACCTAGACTCCATTGTTCATACCTTTGCCCTTTTTAAATTTTTTTTTTTCAACGTTTATTTATTTTTTGGGACAGTGAGAGACAGAGCATGAATGGGGGAGGGGCAGAGAGAGAGGGAGACACAGAATCGGAAACAGGCTCCAGGCTCTGAGCCATCAGCCCAGAGCCTGATGCGGGGCTCGAACTCACGGACCGCGAGATCGTGACCTGGCTGAAGTCGGACGCTTAACCGACTGCGCCACCCAGGCGCCCCACCTTTGCCCTTTTTATAGCATTCTCAGTGTCTTTACTCTCTTGTCCTTTGTCCACACTCCCAAAACCCCAAACTTACATCCACTCAAGCATGTGCCTACCTCATTCTTATACATGCACTGAATGGTCTGGTAGATGACTGTTATACTGTTGTATAAACTCATGTTGATGCAAAGTATGATCTCCAAACAAAGCTGGGCCGATTACTGTCCTCTAGAAATCTTTTTCTGTCCTTCTTTCTGCTAATTCTCAAAATAGCAATGTTAAACCTCCATTATTTTCCTCAGCCCTCATACAATTCAG